ACCCCCAAGTCCACCACTTACTACTGATCATAATGCTAATGATTATGATAGTCTAATGGAAGAATAATGAGTTCCTTTCTCGTGACCCAGAGAACAGGGACGTATGTGTAAATATACACATGCATGCTACGACTCAGATTGAACAGTGAGGGAGAGATACATTCCCATTTTGCAATGCTTTCTAGTACAATAACAGGGGAGTCAACAGTTTCTTCCCCCTATCTTAATTATCTATAAAAAATCCTCTACTGACTATGTCAGTTCCATGTGAGAAACTTCTTTATTCAGTTGACAGCAGTCTCATTAACTGCTGCCTTATTTCCTATATTTGTGTGACCACTGCTCAATCTCCTTAAAGATGGGATAGATATTGAGAAGGCGATTCTTATAAAGCCGCACGTGAATGTGTATTCGCGTGAATATTGGAATTCAACCTTCCTGAACTGTAGCTTTTTCTCGGGGTAACGCATTTTTTTACCTCGTGTATAACAGGGTACTGTAGAAGAAAGATGCGACAATGTTTGTTTCCAATGAAGGATGCGAAGAAGAAGGAGAACAAATACAGTCGGCATTGTTTGAAGTTGAAGAGGACATTAGAAAGAAAGTTTTGGATATGTTCTCTGGAAATGTAGAATTCGATGAAGAAGAATCCAAGAAGTTGGCGCTAGATCTACAGAAGAATCTGCTGTCTATGTTTTCTGGAGGTGTAGGAGATGACAAAGAGGAGGAGGAAGAAGAAGACGAAGAGGACGAAGAAGAAGACGAAGAGGACGAAGAAGAAGACGAAGAGGACGAAGAAGAAGACGAAGAGGACGAAGAAGAAGACGAAGAGGACGAAGAAGGGGATTCGGAAAAAGACGAGTCACAAAGAGAAGATTCATGTGAGGTTAAATCCGATAAAGAAGCCAGTCTGGACGCAAATGAAAATAGATTAGTTAACTTATCCGAGGGTGAGGAAAAAGAAACAGCGTTGCTAGGAGCTGAAGATGACATTAAGAAAACCTTGCTGGGCATGTTCTCTTTGAAGGGAGAATTCGATGAAGCTGAATCAGGAAAGCTGGTATTAGATCTACAGAAAAACATACTCTCTATGCTGTCTGGAAATATCGGGGACCATGATGATGAGGACTACGAAGACTTTGAGGAGGAAAAAATAGAAAAACCAGAGGAAGTCGTGGAGGATTCTACGGAAGTTGGTGATAAAGAGGCAATAGACGAAGTAGCCGATGTTCTACAAGAGCCTGAAGAGGAGGGCACGGAAGAATCTGGAAAGGAGGTTAGCGAGTTATTCGAAAAGGAAGTTGCGGATGAAGTTATTGAAGAGGAGGACAAGGAAGAAGTAGAAGAGGCATCCGTCGACATAGAGGACATGCCCGTTGTTGTGGAGGACCCTGTCATTACTGTAGAAGAGCATGTAGACCAGGATAAAGAGGAGTCAACAGAACAGGACGGCCAGGAATCTGAAGAGGAGGAAACTGAACAATCATTAGGGGAGCAGTCAAAAGAAGAATTCGCAGAGGAGGAAAAGGAAAGAGCAGAAACAGCTGTGGGCTCTGTGGATGATATCTTGAAGGAGGAAATGAAAAAAATAGAAGAGTCTGTGAAGGGGGCCCTTGGAGTTGTGCAAGAGGCAGTAGATAAAGTTACGGAGGAGGAGCAAACAGAAAAGGCAGAGGGCCCTGTGGAAGCAGCGAAAGAAGA